ATTAACAACACAGACACTCTTGCTGTGGACGCACTTTGTTGCGTGCAAGTCCAAAGGTCGAGACAATGTGCTGCCATGCACGTGTTATACTAAATACGAAGAACTATTGGCGCCTCTTATTGGTTCAATTAATTTAAGTCAATTAGAAGCGAATGAGAAGTAGTTTTCTAGAGCTGAACGATCGGCAGGAGCATCGTTTGATATCAATGTTATGTAACAACACGGCAACATTGTTTCAGGGAGGGCCAGGGAGAGTGAACAAACATTACTGAATAGCGACAAATAGGCTGGGGAAATAAACTTGAAAAGGGAGAAACCGTGAAGGTCCTTCATTACTGGACTTTTGACCTCTTTTCGTCAAGGGTAGAGTGGAGTTGATTTCCATGAATCGTTTGGTCGTTCTCAGAAACGCCGGCATGTTCACATGTTGATGACGTACGTACACCATCAATGATGCCGTCAACCCTGATTGGTGAGAGGAAATGTGAGTCACTAGTGGGAACCAATCAGAACTCTCTAGGGCACGTGAACAATATGCAAATCTGAAATTTCCGGCTTGTGTTTGGCAAAGGTGGTATTTCTGCGAAATTAGCGCCTCCATATCTGAGAATAAAGTATAGTCGTAATGCGAATTCATTTGCGAGAGTATTGAACTTTCTGAGATATTCAGGTAAGTAGCAAAAGATTTTAAAATACCGCTTGTGTGACGCCGTATAAAACTAGAGAGGACATAAGCACTACTCATGCTTTGCTTGCATGCATTCATACATGCCACAGTCGCACGTCTGATTCTGTATTCCTGAATATTTTTTTCAATATGTTATAGTTGTAGATCTAGAGTGCATGGAATAAACTGTGGAATAACAGTGCATGTAAAATCTTCTCGCTTTATTTGAACAATAATGAGGTCCAATTACAAAGAGGAAAAAAAGTTTTTTATATTGTAGATGCTCTTCGTCTCGGAACAGTTCAATATTCATGCCGGACCACGATGAGCCTTAATTTTTTAAAGACGATCTGAAGCAAGCAGTAAGCAATAGGAGTTACGTACGGGATCGCTAGAAAGCAATTCATAGCTAAAGAAGTAACGATTCGGCCACTAAACGGTCTGAAATACAAACCATCTCGTTTTGACATTTGCATTTAAATCAAGAAATAGACAAACTTGGTCGTGTGACTGGCTATAGAATTTGTTGACGGCGACCAGATTGGTGCTGAAGTCCTAAAAGATAGGAACTGAAATTTTGCATGAGGAAATAACTCGTATCTCAAAGAAGAGAAATTGCATTGTTTGCTGAATATCGACATAGCCGTCGCTCTATTCCCGGAAACCTGACCCAGCGTGTCTTCAGTTTCTAAGAAATTCAGTAATTTAATCGTGGCCGGTCTTGGTTGTAGTTTAAATAACATTTAGTTGAATTACACACATGATTTTGCGCGCTTTGTGGAAGCTTCTAAAGACATCATTCAGTGTAGCCTAAGTATGTAGAATTTCAAGGCAGGAAGCATACTGTATGCAGAGTTTTTATCTCTATATTGCCAGGTTGAAATGTTTGAAACCCTACTTTCTATAGTAGATCGCTGAGGCGAGAAATTTCGCGACACGAATTTCCCATTCGCCTTTATCATTAATTTTGTTTATTATCTTAGCTTTTGCTCAGTTCGTTGACGACAGAGGGAATATGGAAATTTACTTACATGGGGGATTAGTATNATCATTACAAGCTTTGACGATTTCGAAACGCGTCTATCGGACCTCCTCGAAAACAATGTGTGCTCCATCTTCTCAAACCTAAAAAGGAATATCTCCAGATGTGGAAAAGCAGTGTCGGAGTACAGAAAGAACTTACTCAAGACGCTATCAAGCTTGTTGCCGGTTGTGAGAAGTGGTGATGAAGTAGAAAAGATCCTTACCGATGTCCTTGACAAAGTTGCCTCATCTCCGTTTCATCAGACCTACCTCTCGTCGTGGATCAGTGGAAAAGAGAAAGAGGTGAAACTATTGTCCACTTACTTGGAATATCTAAAAGAAGTCCAGCTGGTATTGTCATTGGAAGACCTTGACAGTGTGGTCGATTCATTGGAGTACGATCGGGTTGTTTGCTTTTCCCTGGTGCCAGTCAGTAATCAAGACGACTTAGTTGAAGAGATGTACGACTTCTTGCGAACTGGTAGCTGGAAGCAAGATCGTCATCTTGCTACACAACCATGGTTCGAGGTAGAAAAAAGAAGAAAACAACAACAACCGTGGTTTGAAAATCCTGAAGTAATTAATGATATCAAATCTAAGGCAAGAAATTTCAGAGGCTTTGCAAAGGAAAATGAACACGATGGAAACGTCAAATTCATCTTCACCAATATTCAGAAGAGTGCGGGCGAGAACGTTGTCACGATTCAAATGTATGAAGATGGTCATGCAACAGATTTTGAGCCTCCTGGTAAACCTGAAAAGCCTTATGCAACAAAGAAGAGTGATTCTAGCATTACTCTAGAATGGATGGTATCACCACATGAAAGAAGTTCTGTCCAAACGTACACTGTGCACTTTCGACCTGCTGTTAGCGATTCAAGTGGAGAACCCGGGGAAGAATGGACGTCTGTGCGGACAGTGGGACCAGAGAGATATATCACAGTGGATGGACTGCAAACGAAGACGGCGTACGTGTTCAAGGTGAACAGCGATTGTAAGGCTGGTAGGAGTACTCCAAGTGACATCAGTGACCACATTGTTATTGAAGAACCTGTTTACGATCGTCCTCAAACTGCGAGCTCGTCGAATGGATCAGATCTGCTCCAGAATGTGCAGAAGCCTCCTGAGAAAAGACGAAATGGTGCATCCGCGGGCTGTAAAGCATCAACTAGCAATGGCACAGCGGTTTCTGCTCCCTGTCGTCTAGCTGAATGTATGCTCTCTTCCTCTAAGAAGATTGCAAGTGACTCTCCATCAGTTTACAAGCTTCGGACGAAAGTGGTTATGAGACGGAGGAACAGCATGATTGCAAGACAAAACATCGGTATGCCTAAACACGCCACGAGAATGCTTACCGAAAAGGTCCTTATGGTAGTAGGGGCAACAGGAGCTGGTAAAACGACTCTAATCAACGGCATGGTGAACTACATCTTGGGAGTAGAGTGGAAGGACGACTTCCGATTCAAACTAATCGTAGAAGACAGCAGAGCATCACAAGCTAACAGTCAGACAAAAAGCATCACCGCTTACACGTTTTACCCTATGGAAGGCTCAACAATTCCCTATAAATTCACCATCATTGACACTCCAGGCTTTGGCGACACGGAGGGATTGAGGCGAGACAAGGTTATCACCAATCAGATAAAGGAATTCTTTTCCATAGCACCCCCAAATGGGATTGATCACCTCGATGGTGTTGGTTTCGTAACCCAAGCCTCCCTAGCCCGCCTTACTCCGACACAAGAGTACATCTTTGACTCCGTTTTGTCTATATTTGGAAATGATGTTTCCCAAAACATTTTCCTGATGCTCACGTTTGCAGATGGCCAGCACCCACCTGTACTGGATGCCATTAGGAAAGCAAATATTCCATGTGAGAAGTATTTCAAATTCAACAACTCAGCGCTATTTGCGAAAAATGCAGAAACTGACGAGAGTTTCGATGCAATGTTTTGGAAGATGGGCTTTCGTTCTTTCCAAAGCTTTTTTGCTGAGTTTACAAAATCGGAAAGCGTAAGTCTTCGCCTTACTAAAGAGGTTTTAAAAGAAAGAGAGCAGTTGCAAACCCTCCTTGAAGGTCTGAACCCGCAAATAACCGTGGGTCTCAACAAGATTGAAGAGATGCGTCAGGAGGAGCTCATTCTGCAACATCACGAAATGGAGATCGAAACTAACAAGGAGTTCACATATACAGTGGACATTTCCAAACCACGTCAGATTGACCTCAAAGGTACTGGAAGGCACACAACGACTTGTCTTCGCTGCAACTTCACATGTCACAAAGACTGTATGTATGCAAATGACAGCGATAAGCGCTCATGCTGCGCTATGGGGCGAGATGGCAACTGTACAGTCTGCACAATGCATTGCCTCTGGTCAGAGCACAGGAATCTTCCTTATCTGATTGAGTACGAGACTGTGACCGAGACGAGGACGTCAGATGACCTGAAGAAAAAGTATGAAAAAGCTGTCTCAGGCAAATCTAGAGTGGAGGGCATGATTGTTCAACTTGAGGAGTTTCTTCAAAGTGTGCATTCACGCGTTATGAGTATGATTTACCAAGCCCAACAAAGTCTTTTCCGCCTTGATGAGATTGCCCTGAAACCCAACCCACTGACAGAGGTGCAATACCTAGATCTACTTATTGAGTCAGAGAAGAACGAGGCCAAACCTGGTTGGAAGCAGCGGGTAGAATATTACGAAGAGGCCAGACGTCAAGCTGAAATTTTGTCCAAAGTCAAAGATGTCCAGGCAGCTCAAAAGGAGATTAAAGAGAAGGCTCGCAAGGGAGACAGATGGTATCATAGATTCAAGTTCTGGTGACTTCACCGGTATAGTAAAGGGCTTCGCATTTCTAATTAACACTTTCTTTGCACAGCTGCTTGCATGGAAAAACTGAGATTTAGGAATCAAGTTTGCCAAACCGCAATTTTGGAACAGTGTGATTTTCCAGACTATTAATTAACATGATTAAGTTGCACAAACATTTGACTCCACTATTCGTAGTTTACCGTAGCTTGTTTGATTAAGGTGCACATATCTTAGATTGCACGATTTCGAAATGTCATTTATATAAGACTGTATTGTAGAGCGGTCATGCCTTTTAGTTCGCGTAATAGCCCATTGATGGTCGATCTCAGCCTCCGGGTGCTTAATTACCGCTGGTAGAGAATCGCACGGCAAATGGAAAACAAGATTGCTGCCTAAGTACACGTAATTAGGACATTACGTTTTTGACCAAGCATTATATGCACTTGTGTAGGCACGTCTCGAGGCGCGTCTGGCCTCTAGCTTAGGAAAACAGGCGACGCTTTGTTAACACATCTATGATATCGCGGTGTACGTGTTGCCCTGCTGAATAGCTCTTACCTGTATTTTTTCATCAGGTTGCAAAAGTCAAATCTAATGTCTTATTGATCGTGGCTACCGCGTCATTAGTGCTACCTTTTGTATCTTTTCCAAAGGGTTTTGCTGTTTTGGTATGTACTTCGGTACTTTATTTGAATTCTTTGCGGATATTCTAATTTGATTTTAGAAGTCAGAACTGACGGAAGATTACAGTATTTCTAACCTGGTTCATAAATAGCGCACGCATTATAGTACCTATGAATATTTTATGCCTATACTATCAGTTACTTATGATACAATTCTTGTTCTATTACGACTCAGATTTAAAAGTCAGGTTACTCTTCCAGAGTATTCATATATTGTTTGAAATACAATTTTCGCCGAATCGATTCAGATTTCATTTACCTTACTATGTTTTAATCACTGATCACTTTGATCACTGATCTTGCATTATTATTGGTTTTTGTCTATACAAATACATTGTCTTCGTTTGAGATATAACCAGCTTAACAAATGAAGTGAATGTTTGAATGGTGTGTCTATGTAGAAGTCAAGCGGATGGGTCTTGTTTGGGTTTCCTTTTACCTTTGCTTCAAAACAAGCCCTGTTTGAAAACTCTCGACTGCATCACCCCGCATCAAAGTGATTTTCGTTGTCGGGGCGCATTTTATACATTCTCAAAAGCCTTATTCTGTTTGTGGCAGTCAGGCAGAAAAATCGGTTAGTCGCTCATGATCCGCGCTGATATGAAGTCAAGTCCCAAATTGCCACATAATGAGCCAACACCGTTTTCAGAATCTATAAAGGACTACCATGGTCAGGAAATATCGAGCAAGTAAGCATTTCCAGAACAATTTACTAGCTGCTGGCAAATCAATATACCAGTTCTAAAGCTCTTTCCGGAAAATTAATTGAATTAAGCCATCTAATAATCACTGCTGAACACCCGTTTTGAAGGTCAGGGTAAGGTTACATCGGTGGAGCCCCCCGGTTCCCCAGTCAGCAAATCTTCCACTGGAGATCCCATTTTTAAAGGGACAGCTCCGTCACACTCCTGGCCCCGGTAGTTCGAAAGGTAGATGACACTATCCAACGGATA